TTTTTCTTAAAAAAAGATTTTAAATCCGAGGATGGCATTAGTGGTTCATCTAATAGTATTCCAGAGTTTGTAGCTAATTTTGCAAACTGGTCTGCTTTTTCATTACCTATGATACCTTGATGGCCTTTGATCCAAACCAAAGAAAAGGTCTTCCTCATAGTTAGGAGAATTCTAGCTGTTTCTAAAATCTTCATTATTACTACTGGTAATGTACTTGAAATTTGTATATTTTTTAAAGAATCAATAGCACTTTTGCTGTCTGTTAAAATTACGAAATTTGATTTATCATGATTAATGGCGTATTTTAATGCTTCTAATACTGCTATAAGTTCTGCCGTGTAAATGGACATTTGAGATGGTAATTTAAACATACGTGATACATTGTCGTTGGAATGGTATAAAGCGCATCCAGTCTTGTCTTCAATTTTTGATCCATCTGTATAAATATATTCTGCGTTTGGCCATCTGGTACTTATGGTATTGTTAGTAATGTGGTTTATGATGTTCCGGCATTGCACGTGTTCTGACTGAAAGTAGTAAAGTTGTAGTTGAAGATCAAGAAGGTTATATTCTATGTTATAACAAGGAAGTTTGTTGTTTTTATAAAGGAAGGTCTGAACATTATTTAGTCGTTGTAAACTTAATATTAATAGAGGTTTCTTCTTACGTCTCCAATATGGATAATTTATTTTAGCTTCTAGTTCTTGCAGCTCTCTAGTACGGTTTTGAGACAGTAATTTTGATACAAAAATATTGCTTAAATATTCTCTTCTAATCTCTAGTGGTGGTTCTGCTGCTTCTACTTCTAATACATTTACAGGAGTACTTTGTAAGGTTCCTAGGCATAATCGTAAACTTTTATTTTTAATCACTTCCACTTTTTGTAGTTGACTCAAATTAGCATTTCCATATAGTACACATCCATAGTCAAGCACTGAACGGATGAGAGCTTTATAGAATATCAGGGCTATGTTTGGATCCGCTCCCCATTTGGTATTTGAAAAGGCTCTAAGTATATTTATAGCATTCTCACTTTTTTTAACAAGATGATTAATGTGATCTTTCCAGGATAATTTTTGATTGAGTATTACCCCAAGATATCTAACAGATGATTTACATGGAATCGTAAGTGGACCTAAATTAAAATGATTTGGTGGCTGGTACCGATGACGAGTGAAAGTACATATAACTGATTTCTCTTGAGATATTTCGAAACCATTTCTTCTTGCCCAACGTGTGGCCCTTTCAGATGCTATTCGTAAATCTACTATTGTATTTTCAATTGATTTTTTTTCCGAATATATACAGAAATCATCTGCAAATTGCAGCACTCTTGTCTGGGGTTGCATAATGAAGTTAAAATCTGATGTATATAATATAAAAAGAAGGGGACTTAGAATGCTACCTTGAGGGATACCGAGGGAAGTTGATTTAGGAGGACCAATCTGTCCATTTATTTTTAAATATAAATTTCTATTTTCATAAAGCATGATGATGTTAGTCGTTATTCTCTCAGGAATACCTATTGTTAGAAGTTTCCCGGCCAAAATACGTAAATTAACTGCATCATATGCCCCTTTTATATCCAAAAATAATGCTGAAATTGAATTATTTACAGTAAATGCCTTCTGAACATCGGAAATAAATATGGCACTTGCTTCTATAGTTGAACGTCCTCTTCTAAAACCGTACTGGAATGTTGGTAGTAATTGCTGGTTTTCCAACCAATGTTCTAATCTATTTTTAATTATTTTCTCATAAGTTTTTAAGATACAGGACGCTAGTGAGATAGGTCTATATGATTCTGCAGAATCAATTGGTTTCCCAGGTTTGTGTATTGGGATTATAAGGTATTTGCTCCAAACTTCAGGGATTTTTGCTTTATTTGTCCAGATGTCATTTAATATATTTAAAAGGCGTTGTTTAGTTATCGCAGGGAGGTTTGACAACATCGGGTAGTGGATATTATCTATTCCTGGAGAAGTGTTATTATTTTTCTTTAACGCTCGATTTAGTTCTTGTATTGAAAAAGGACTACTGAGAATATGATTATTCCTAGAAGTAATTGGGATTTCCATAGGTTTTTCAATAACCCAATTGGGAGCTATTTTATTGTGAAAATCTTCTGCCCAATCGCCCCATTCCATTACAATCTTATTTGTTTGTTTTCGATTTTTGAATCTGTTTAATTTTGACCAGACCTCTTTCATAGGTGTATTTTTATTTAAACTACTACAGTACTCCCGCCAGCTTTTCCTTTTCGCCTGATTAGTTACTTGTTTTACGACTGCATCTTGGTTCTGGTAATTATAAAGGTTTGTTACGTTGGGATTTTCCTTGAATATTCTGAAAAGTAGTTTTCTTTTATCAACTGCCCTATTACATTCTTCAGTCCACCACGGTTTGCATTTTTCTGGTTTGTATGCCTTATTTGAACTGTACTTTGGAATGGCTATACTGGCTGCTTCATTTATATCAGTAATTAGCTTATCGTAACTATCATTTACAGTTTGCTTTCTTGGATCATCTAGGTAATTACTAAAGACCGACCAGTTTGCTTTATTTATATTCCAAATTTTATGGGACTTTGGGATTAATCCCGTAGATTCTACAGAACACTTTAAAAGGACTGGTAAATGATTTGATCCATGTGGGTCTTGAATTACTTCCCAGTCAAAAAGATGGCTGACATTTTGAGAGCAAAAGGTGATATCTATCGCACTATTTCTTTGTCCTGGTCTTGTGATGAGAGTTGACTCTCCTGTATTTAGAAAAACTAGACCAGATATATTTAATGCCTCTAGTAAATTTTTACCTTCGGTATCTTCTGCTTCTGAGCCAAATGCTTGATGATGAGCATTGAAATCCCCACCAACAATACATGGCTTTGGTATGTTATTAAAAAAAGTTACAAATTGATTTACTGTAAGTTTAGATGACGGTTTAATATAAACTGAAACAATATGTAATTTTTTAAAATTCCCTATAGTAACACGCACACACGTAGCCATTATTTTTGGTATTATTGCCAATGGAATCTCTAAGTAAGATAAGTTATTTTTTATTAATAAGGCTACACCTGCTTTACCGTCATCCCTGTCCATTCGACAACAGTTATAACCAGCGAAATTATAATAAATGTTGGGTTTAAACCACGTTTCTGACAGTAAAGCTATGTTTACATTGTAATTATGTAGTAAATGTTCTAAATTTGCTTTATTTGCAACTGCTGATCTGCAATTCCATTGAACCATTGTGAAAAGTCTATTTATGTCTGCACACATAGTGTAATGTATGAAGAAACGGAAGTTATTTTTTAGTTATAGTCTACTCTTAGTATTATATTAAAATAGGGTATTTTAGGGAAAGCAGATAACTAATTTAAAGTGTATTCTGACCTTGTCGATATCGCTTTTCTATGGTTGAAATGTAATTTTAAAAAATAATATTTAATGTGATCGAAACTGGTGGATGTTTGACAAGGTCGAGACTGAAGAGATGTTTCTTAGTTTAGAGTTGATTGTATCTAAAATATCTTGTTCTTGTATATCGAATGAATTTTTGTTTTTAAGGGTATTGACAATAGTATTAATTATGTCTAAGACTAGGGAAGTGTTTAAAATATCTACACTATTTTGAGACTGGTTTACAAGTGGATTTAATGTTTTTGGTAAATTAGCGGAATACAATGAAGATTGTAGAATACCTCCTGGGGAAGAAGGGACATTAACCGGAGTAACAATTTGTTTGTGTATGTTTAATATAGGATCAGGAGATTGTGGGCGAGCCCTTTTATTATCCCGATAAATTGTTTGTGTAAAATGGGTAGGTCTAGGAGATGAATTACAGTTAAAAAAGGGTCTAGATTGTGAAGAGCCATTTGAAGTGATTAAAGCGTAAGTCGCTTTAGGTGTTTTTCCACAAGCATCTTTATAAGAAAGGTTAGTTTGTGACATGAGCTTTTTAATTTCTTTTTGTCGTGAGAATTCTAGACATTCTTTAGTGGCATTGGTATAGTGAGCGCCATTGCAATTAAAACATTGAGGGGGTAGATTGACTTCAGGACAGATATCAGGTTCATGGTTTTGTTTACATTTTACACATCTCTTGGAACTTTTACATTGTTTGCCCAAATGACCGTACCTAAAACAGTTATAGCAAAGTACCACCTTTTCAACATATGGAACTACTTCAAATATAACATGATTAATTTCTAAATACTTTGGCAGAGTTTGTGACTTAAAGGTAACTAAGACAGTCTGAGTGGGGACAAATTTTGTGGTATTATTTTCTGTTATTTTTCTAGAAAACCGTTTAGCAGAATCGACACTGAATTTGCAGTGCATGTCGTGTTCCCTTATGTTGTGTTTTAAATATTCATCTGAGTATTCCAGATCGACATATTTAATAATACCTCGCCGGTGGAGCATAAAACGGGGAATATAAACATTTAAATTATAATTTTTTAATTGGTTAGAATTTATTAACGAATTGGCTGTTTTATAATCTTTGCATTTAACTCTAATTCTATTACGTCCAACTGAGTCGATATTTTTAATATGGTTGTCGAGATCTGGATGAGCGTTGTAAATAATCTCTCCTATTTTCATAGGTCTTAGTTGTCCTACAAAATTTTCTGAATTGTTTTCAATATAAACAAAATACGGACCTGAATCAGTTGGACTGAATAAGTATATTTCTCTCTTGTTGATTGAAGGAGAATTAATTGGTTTATCACCATTGATTTTTGAGATTTTATCAGTAACATTGGTTCCGTCTTTGCTAGTTGAATTTGTTGAATTTGCAATAAAAGAACTATTAATAGAACTAATTTGACTTACATTTGCTTCATTTATATTTTTGATTACATTACCGCTCATAGTATCACTTATTTCTCTATCATCTCTTAGGGTTTTGGTTGCTGGAATATATTCCATCTGCGTTAAATTGCTAATTTCATTCATCATTTCATCATCACTTAGAACAAACGATTAGGGACTCCGAAAAGAGTTCCCGGGGAGAGTGCCTCCCCCATTGGAAAGACACTTCACTAATGCGACTACACTAGTATGTAGTTCGAAAGTATTAACACAAATAACACAAGGGAACCTAAAAATAAAGTTAAACGAGAAAACCCAACAAAAAAGACTGAAAATTGAAATTATATTTCAAAATACTATTGTCACGTTGACGGAAGTCGGTATCCAATGTCCATCGGATGCTGTTATAGTAAAGTTAAATTAGAAAAAAATGTAGGGGTATCATAATGTTTCTAAATTCATGTAATTTTAGGGTACTACAGGTGATCCAAAAGCTCCAGTTGTATCTCATTTTAATGTCGTAAACAATGGATATTTCATAGGAAAGCGAAATAGACTGAACCAAAAACAGCACCGACTATGCATTCAGAATCCCCTCTTCCACGCTTACGGATCTATCATAGGATTGATTGGTGCTTTAAATCACGGTACCACTGTGGTACTTCCATCTGACAGATACAAACCTGAAAAAAATTTAGATGCTTTGAAAAATCACAAGTAAGTAAAAATGATTTTCTGTTATGTAGTTTTACTGTTTTCCTAAAATCATAAAATTGAAACCTGTATAACCCAAAGGCACTAAGGAATTTTCTATATTGCATAACTTGCAAATCTTTTGCTAATAGGTCCTGTTTGTAAATAAACTATTTTAGTTTAAGAAAATACTGATCCTGATAAATAAATTCAAGCACTTTCAACACCTACTAAATAGGATTGTAAATTCGGTGAAAACCTCTGTTGTTACATTCACCAAAAGAAAGAACATGCAAGTAATAAAGAAGCTTAATATATAGAGACAACATCTAAAAATGACAAAGGAAGTTAAATATCTTTGTATCAATCTTGATGAAATGCTTAGTTTTTGCAGGTATATAAAAAAAACACACAAAAAGCTGTAAGAGCGTTATGGGCATGTAAAGAGCAGAACACGAACACATGGGGGCTTTAATTAATCATGATTCACTGATTTTATACTAAGACTTTATTACCAGTTGTAACTTACCCATTAGTCATATGATGACATATGAATCAAAACAAAACAGTTAGCAGATACTAACTGGGACCGTTAGAAATACGTCCACTGTAGTAATGAAGTTATTGCCGGGTATTCCTTTATTACACCCTGTGATGGAAAAAGAGATTATGAAGGTGGTATACAGGATCTTACAAAATAAACTTGGTTGGGAACTTTTAATAAATTGACACCGTACAATGATAATGGAAAAACTGAAAATAAAATTTGGTATTAAAACTTCTGTCGGATAGACTAGCTATTACTCATAACTATTCAGAAATTTATATACCAGAAAGGACCAAAAACCGAGAAAATAGACAAACACAAAATAAATCAATTTGGTATTCGGTTCGAAGATGCAAAATACCAGAGAAGCTAGGATGTACCATAAGAACTTAGGAAGAACCTTAATCTAAACTAAGGATCACTAGCAGTTAAATGACTTTCTTAGAGATACCAGTGTCTTCATTATGACAGGCAGCTAGGCGGCTCATAGAGTACTAAAAAGGGTAGAAGTCCAATACAAATAAAAATTGATTCTAATAGCCTCTTCAGACCCTGACAAAACATAAAAAGGTCACTCTTAAATGGGTGCCACGACATAAGAGCGTGTTTAGAAACGAGAAAGCACACCTATCTAAGAAGGGAGCTGGGAAAACTATAATTGGATCTGAACCCACATGTGATATTTCATATCAACATGTTAAAGAGGTGTGACTGTAACAGATAAATAGAACACATTATAATCTCTGGTTGAAACTTCTTGAGATCATGTAGTCCAGAATAATCATAAAGAGTCCATTCAAGAGCAGATTAAATTAACTGTTTAACCTTAACAGGAACGAACAAAAGACAGTAATTTACGGGATACCGCAGCCTTTAAAAGATACTTAAATCTCTTAAGAATATCTGACAACTCCCTACACAGAATATATGAAGATGAACACCAAACTCCTCTTCACATTGACGGAACCTTAAATGATAACAAAAATGGTACTTCTGGGTACAATGTCAGCCGGAACCAGAAGGCATCACAAAAGCACCCATCATTCATATTTTTCAATTCATTAAGAATATTAACCTGATTGGGTAGAAACTGAGAAGGTACAATAATTCTAGAGCCTCAGTACAGTGTACTTTGTACTACACCCTTATTCAGATAGATTCAGATAGACAAAAATATTCGAAATTTACTAATTTTGTTATTTATTTTAGATGTACAGTAGTCTATGGTACTCCTACAATGTACGTTGACCTGGTTAACCTCCAAAAAACGAGACAAGAAAAATTACATTTAGAAGTAGCAGTCAGTGGTGGTGCCATATGTTCACCGCATTTATTTGAAAATATGCAAAAAGTTCTTGGTGTTCAGCAGGTTAAGGTACATAATAATTAGTACATTATAATCATTTTTCACTTTCACATAACTAGTATGAGTCTTTACGTTTTAGGATCTTCTGAATCGGTTTTTATTATTTTTGCGATGTCCTGTGGGTGCGTGTGTCTGTGTCCACGATAACTTAGAAAGGGATACAGAGAAAAACACTAAATTATAAACGTGAGCTGATTAGGCTTTGGACATAGTCGAAACATTTGGGACGAACTTTATAGGAATTCCTTTTTATAATTTATTTCTGTTTTTTATTACTAGAGAAAAAATTCTTTTAATAAGAGTTGCATGTGATATAATTTTTTATGTTTTTTGTTATTTTCATGATTTCTATAAAATGACTCGTAATGGAGAAATTTGGAAAATATAAAAAAATATGTTTTTCAGTATTCTCGTTGGCAATGGAGATACTTAAATATATTTCGAATAAAATGTCTGTAATTCATATTCATAACACATTTCAATTATATGGGCAGTATTCAATATGTTTGATAACTTTGCGGAAAGTCATGTGTTGGACATCACATTTTTTTTAAGAAAAACATGATAAATTCTAGAACAGTATCTTACCAAATATGTTCAATAGAGTTGGGAAGTGAATGACCACAGTTCTGGTAAATTCAGGCTTAATAACCCATCATTATAGGTAATTGCTACAATGATGATTATGAAAGAGAATTAAAGAAATTGGCTCTGCATACCTTTGCTTTCTTGTTTCACTTATTTTTTAAAGTATTATATATTTATTACTTAGGGTGTCCTTCAAGGTTCTGTTCTAAGGCCCACCCCATTTTTAATTTATATAAATGATTTATTAACAACCAATTACTTATAAATTTCTAGGAGAGCAAAAATTTACAAACCGGTATTAAAAAAAAAAAACATATCTGACAGCTTGAAACAAGTGACTATATTGATACCGTTTTCTACAATGTTGCTAATACACTTACCGGCAGAATTAATCGCCCACCCAATTATTTTTATTTATTTCTGAAATTTTCGGAGATTTTCGTCACTTTTTGACATTAATTGATATGAAGTGACATTTTGACAGAAAATAAATGTTTAACCAAAGAATACCTACCCAAGAAGCGAAACTGAATGAGTTTTCGTATGTACCAAAGTAAGGGAACTTAATACACTGAAAAACGTATAAAAATTAATCAGTTTTAGTCGTTTGGTTCATAAGAATTAAACACAAACTAAAGTAACAATGGCAGAAAATTCTTACTATGTTCATTATGTCAAATATATTATTTTAATAGGTGACAGTCACTACACAATAGCGAAAGTTGATGACGGTCATTCTGAAAATAGGGAATTTTAAGAACAATTATGGAACAGTGGTGCAAGAACCATTCACTGTCTATCAATCCCAAGAAGACAGAAATAATCCTTTTCACAAGGAAATGATGAAAATGGAATTAAAACCTACAGAGTTCCTAAACACAAAACAAAACTTTTCAACAGAGATGATGTACCTAGGTAGCACCTTTGACAATAAGTTTACATGGAACTCACAATTTTAAAAACAGAGTCAAAAGAGCATACATTACTTATGACAAATAACACCAAACCGTGGGGCGCATCTGGGGTTTCCTTCTCAGAGTCGTCACATGGACTTACATGGCCCTCATACGACCTATGCTAACATACGGTTCAGTTGTCTGGGTACCGACAATCCAAAAATTGACAGCTATCCGCCAAATAGAACAAATTCAAATAACAGCATGTCTCAACATAACAGAAACCATGAAAACCACACCAACCAGAGCCATGGAAGTCGTTCTTAGTCTCACTCCCTGTAATATTTACATCAAGGAGGTTGTTCTCATGACAATGACACGCCTCTGCACGGTTGGAATAGAACCTGATGTACGATCTGGTGAGGCGAGACGTCGTTTTTGGCAAAAGGCGCTCGATACGCACCAACTTCTTCAAGCAAACATGAACCTTATCTCATCGAGTTATATCTTCCATAGGCCATATAAAGTTATAACAGAACAAATAGAAGAGCCGGAAGTGGAAGGTATGATACATATTCACGCCGACGCGCGACGGTTCTAAAACAAAACAATGGTCATGATGTGGAATATACTCCAATTCCTTAAACTTCAACATAAAATGGTCTGTGCATAATAGTGGCAATGTAGTCTATGAAGCTAACGGAGGTTCTCATAGCAGCAAAAGAAATCGCTGGTAGGAACATGCTCATCCATACAGATAGCAGATAAGCACTACTTACCCTGAACAGATTACGAATTTAATCAGGGTTAGTACTAGAATATCACGAAGCTTTGGCACGAGTATCCATTCAACAATGTGGTCATCTTAAGATGGAGCAACAGAGATAGTCTTATTGCTGTTTCACTAGCCAAGATGGCGGCCAACCAAATACTTTTTGGACCTGGCCCTTCTATTGGACTGATAACATCGGTAGTGACAGACCTAATTAAAGAATATACCCTTGTGAAATTGAAGGAAAGATGGGATGAAACAAGAAACTGCTAAGTTACCACGGAGATTTTAAGTTATCCTGATAATACTACAACAAACAAATACTTGACTATGACCAGACATAATCTGCGTCTAATCACAGGCATTCTGACTGGTCATTGCCAAATACAGAAGCATCTCCATATCATGGGGCTGTCAGAATCCGCACCCTGCTGGTGGTGCGAACAAAAAAATGAAACCATCGAACATATCCCCTACGATTGCCAGTCGCTCTCATTTATTAGAAGATTTGTTTTCAGCGAGTATTGGCTAACACCGGTCGATATAAGAGAAACACCTCTTGGCGACGTAGGCTGGCTCATGAGATAGGAGGTGCCTATCATTGGGTCTAGTGAGGCTAAGTGCCGTGGTTTAACCCACCCTCTACACGTTACATATCCAGAAGTACTGTTGGTAGCTGTAAAGGCATTTCGATTACATCCTGATAGCAGCGACTTGGTTCCTCGAAGTGAGTTTGTCATATATTTTAATTATTGTTTTGTATTATTGTTTATTTACTATTTTAATTCGAATAGTTTAAAAAACAAACAAAAATAACATATTTAAATAAAAGAGTAAGAAATTAAACGATGCATAATACGTAGGCGTAAATTATCATTATAGGTAATACCGATTTAGAAATTAAAAAAAAAAACTTTAACAGCCAGATGCAAGAACGTTCAATAAAATTTCCGAATAACGCAAAGTATTTTTTTTGTGTAATTTAAATTCTAAAACTAAACTAATTTCTAATTACTACTTAGTTAAATACAACTATACTTAACTATATGCAATTTTCACAAAACGCTAATAATAATATACCAAACGTTGCTCTGGTTGCTCTACATAAATTGACAGCTATATTTGACGTTAAACCACATCTAAAACACAGAAAACTTGGCAGTTTTTTGTCCACGAATCGCCCATTTAGTTTCGCTTCTTGGGTAGGTATTCTTTGGTTTAACTGTCAGTGCTGTCATTCTTTCGCTTTTTATTAATAATTTGGTTCCAATTTGGCTTGTTTAATGTTAGGTATTTACAATTTTTTTTTTTTTTATTAGAGATAATTAGACTTGTTTAGTGTTGGCATATATTTTGTAAAATCATTTTAAGGTAAATTCAAAACAATGCCATTGGAGCAGAATCAGTAGCCAAAGCTGTAGTTCTATCTGATGAAGGTTATAGTCAACGTCGTATTGCTGGAATACTTGGTGTTGCTCGTGAAACAGTCAGATATACCATAAGGCGTTTTCGAGAGACAGGTTCTTACACCAGAAGGCCCGGTCAGGGCCGCCATCACTGCACTTCAATGAGGGACAATCGTTTTGTTGTGAGCACGATTTTAAGAGATCGGTTCTGTACCGCTGTTGAAGCCCGTACTCGTCTTGCTGAGGTTAGAAATGTGGAGGTCAGCGAGAGAACCATAAGGAGGTTGGCAGAAAGGAATCTTATAGCGAGACGCCCTTACCGAGCCCCTCAGCTTCGCCTGCATCACAAAAGAGCTAGACTCCGTTTTGCACGTAAATACAGTATGTGGAATATGGATCAGTGGAAGAATGTTTTATTCTCTGAAGAGAGCAGAATTGCTTTAAAAATATCCAGATGACCGCCAGCGTGTATACAGACGCTCGACAGAGCGGTTTGCTGCTTGTGCTCTTATGAAAATTGTGGGTTATCAAGGAGGCTCAATAATGATATGGAGCGGAATTTCTTACAAGGCTCGTACGGATCTGGTAATTTTTGCTAGAGGCGGTGTAGATGCTCACAGGTATGTTCCAGAAGTTCTTTAAGAACTTTGCCATGGCCAGCACAGATTCCAGACCTCAATCCAATTGAACACATTTGGGACAATCTAAAAAACGGATTCGAGCACGAAGACCAGCTCCAACCACTATTCGAGAGCTGAAAACTACTGCGGTAGAAGAATGGGAGAACATCCCACAAGCTGAGATTCAAGCCAACAGGCTTAGTGATTTGATCAGGGCAAGAAGGGGTAACACTTGTTACTAAAGTAAATTTTGTTAATAACAATACTTTTTTGTTTAAAAATTTTCAAAAACTGTTTTTCTTTTATTTTCTAAAATTAGACAAAACTTTCATTTGATTGGTATTTGTTTGCTTTTTCAAGATGTATTTAGAAATTAAAAAGTAAAAAAAAAAATTAAAATTACAAATATCTCCAACTAACTAACAAAACATTGGGTGGGAAGTTAATTCTGCCGGTGAGTGTAGTTGTTAGTATTGATATATTGGATGGATTATACATTTACACTAGTAATAGAAACAGACTCCTGTGCCAATTAGTCCCAGTCTCCCCTACCTATCGAATATTTAATATATTTTTTATTTCAGTCTATTTATGGTTTAACCGAAACCTCTGGATCCACATTTCAATCACTGGAAGACGATGATGCAGAAAAATGTACTAAAACTGTGGGATACTTGCAAGATCATTTGGAGGCCAAAATCGTTGATGAAAATGGAACTATTGTACCAAGAGGTACTGTCGGAGAACTGTATATTAGAGGGTATTCGGTTATGTTAAACTATTATGAGGATGAAGAAAAAACTAGAGAATGTAAAGAAGAAAATGGATGGTTCCATACAGGGTAATTTTTGAATTCGTTTGCTAATTTAGAATAACCTGCACAAAAATGTGCAAAGTTGTGGGAAATATTTTGTGAAGAAATCTGTTTATCGGTAGCCACTTACTTATATAAACTCTTATCCTGTTTGTCTTTTTTTATCTACATGTGGAATTAACAATTTCCAAGCTTATTGACACGACTCGGATGCTAATATTAGTTTTATTTCAAAGTACTCAAATATCTTGATTTTAGGTTTTTACCGCTGAAACTGAACTGTCATTCGACAGTTCCCAATTTGCACAGTGGATGTCAACTTGCACAGTGTTGCCAACTTACATCCAATATACAGGGTGTCTGTAAAAGGTCTTTAAAAAAACATACCACATATTCCTTGGACCAAAATAGGTCGATTTAAGTAAAATTACCTTAGTACAAAGTTGCTTCGTCTGGGCTCCAGAGGGCCTTGAAGTTACAATTTTTAAATCGTTTTTCCCATATAAATTTAAAACGGCATATGCGATTTTGCTGAAATTTTGTATATTGGTATTATGTGGCAAAAAAATGGTATTAAAATTTTGTCCGATAATAATATATAGGCGTAAAACTTGATTTTTTAAATAATTGCACCTTTAAAAATTCTACGCCGATGGAAAAAAAGGAGTTTGAGTATAAAATTTAGATTGCGCGACTCATTTACTTTAAAAAAGGTACTCTTGATAAGAGTCATGGTTTCGACGAAATTTGCATTTTAGTAATTTTAGAACATAAACAATAATTATTTTTTTTTTTTGGCATAGACTCTTTTGTCATACAGCCAGTCACAAAATGGAAGAGGTAAATCAATAAATATTTAATTTCAAATAACAAGAGGATTAAACGGGGACACTCGCTTCTCGCCTAGGGACCCATCAAGGCATTACAAAAAAACAGACATACACTAGGTCACGGTAAGGGGGTAAAATAAAACAATAGGAAAGAAAACAAAGGTAACGAGTCTAAGAGAATTTCTAATCACAAGCGTATACCTGATTCCATTAAAAAATTAATCAAGCAGTCATAAATGTTTGTGGAATTGGAGGACAATAAACTTTGGATATTCCAAGGGGAGCATATTTTGTGTTTAAGCAGATCGTTATATAGATTGTCACAGAATTTTTTGTTCTTAGTACAATTAAAGAAGATATGGTCCAGATCTCCTTTTTCATTACACGTCTCGCATTGGTCACTTTCAGAGACTTTAATTTTGTATACATGGCTAGGGTAACAGGCATGACCAAATCTCATCCTAATCATTGTCGATATGTACTTTCGCGGTATTTTATAATGCTTGTACCAAGGGATCTTAGGAATGTTTAACAATAATTATTAATATACAAACTTTGTCAAAACCATGAGAGTAAATCGAGTGTTATCAAGGGTACTTTTTTGTAGTAAATGAGTACCCAATTCAAATTTCATACTCAAACCTCTTTTTTGCCATTGGCGTAGAATTTTTAAAGGTGCAATTATTTAAAAAATCAAGTTCTACGCCTATGTATTATTATCGGACAAAATTTAATATGATAAAAAACATAAAAATGTACTTTTTTCATATCTTCTTCAACACCTCTAATCGAGACTTTTAACAAAAATACTCGATTCTTGCCATGTACGATTTTTTTTAGGAATATTAATTATTTGCCTGCAATACGTATACAAAAACATTTATTGTTGGTTTCCATAGCTTCATCTAAATCAAAAAATTGTCAAGTTTTAACACCTAATCTCTTGTTAATGATTGAAAGTGTTCTATCTGACTCAATAATTCAAAAAACAAATGCGTGGTTTATTAATATGGCTGTACAATATACCAATGCAGAATATATCGATATGTTACTGACATTAGGATTTTGTGAAGGAAATGCTCGAGAGAGTGTCAGGGTGTACTCTAGAAAGTTTCCAAATCGTCGTGTACCTAGCCACCCAACTTTTGCTGCTGTTGAGAGACGTCTTCGGGAGACCGGTTCCTTTGCTCCCAACACTGTTGATAATGGAAGAGAACGTTTTGTAAGTATTCCTGAAGTTGAAGAAGACATTTTAAAACGTGTTGAAGAACTAGGAGTAAGTAAAGATGTCGTTCATAAAGTGCTTAGGGAACAATTGCTATATCCATACCATAAGAAGCCAGTATAAGAATTATTAGTCCATGATCCTCAAATTCGTTTGGGTTTTTGTCGATTTGTTAATATGCAGAGAGAAAAAGATCCAAACTTTGTCAAGAAGGTTCTCTTTACCGTTGAAGCGGGTTTTACAAGAAGTGGTATAACTAATACCCATAGTGAACATGTTTATGCCGTTGAAAATCTGCATGCAATAAAGGTAAATCATTTTCAGCACGAATTCAAAATTAATGTGTGGGCTGGAATAATTGGTAATTTCATTGTTGGTTCTGTCATACTTCCACGAAGATTATAACTGGAAAAAATTATTTGGATTTTCTACAAAATACGTTGCCAGAATTGTTAGAAGATTTACCTCTCCAACTTCGGAGAGATATGTGTTTTATGCAAGATGGAGCTCCACCACATTTTTCTTTAAACGTTAGAAATCACTTGAATGAACAATATCCACACAAATGGATAGGCAGAGGTAATGACGCACCTGTAAACTGGCCACCACGTTCCCCAGACCTAACACCGATGGATTACTTTTTATGGGGATATCTGAAATCCACAGTTTACAGGAAACCTGTAGAAAATGAGGAACAACTCTGGCAACGTATTCTAGATGCAATAAACAATCTTAGAGGTGATGAAGAAGTTACGGAAAGGATACATTTTAATTTTCTTCGACGTATAAATCTTTGTATGCGTAAAAATAATGAACATTTTGAACAATTTTTGTAAAATCTTTATTTTGATTATGTTGTAAATAAATATTTTTGTGAAACCTATACACTCTAAATTATTAAAACATAAATTTAGCGAAAACCATGAGAGTAATCGAGTCTTATCAAGAGTACCTTTTTTAAAGTAAATGAGTTGCGCAATCTAAATTTTATACTCAAACTCCTTTTCTTCCATTGGCGTAGAATTTTTAAAGGTGCAATTATTTAAAAAATCAAGTTCTACGCCTATGTATTATTATCGAACAAAATTTTAATACCATTTTTTTGCCACATAAAACTCTACCAAATACCAAATTTCAGTATAATCGCATATGCCGTTTTAAATTTATATGGGAAAAACGATTTAAAAATTGTAACTTCAAGGCCCTCTGGAGCCCAAACGAAGCAACTTTGTACTAAGGTAATTTTACTTAAATCGACTTATTTTGGTCTAAGGAATATGTGGTATGTTTTTGTAAAGACCTGTATATGACATGAATATTAATGATTTGATTCAAAATATTTTCTTATGACTGAGAACATCTTGCTTTAGACAGTATTTCAAACATTGTTGTTACATACATCTAGTTCTAATTAAATAAAGCTATTAAATTACACATCAAAAACGAGGTCTTTATTTTTATGGCGTTGAGTAAAGCCGATACAAGATAAGATGGCGTATTTGTCATATATGATATATGACATGACAGATGACAAATAAAACTCAAAGTTCATGGTATAAAGGTTAAGCCTAAACTACTATCCAATGACTATGTTACATGTTTCCTTTTTCTTTTTTTTATTCCAAAATATAATCTTTCAAGTGTGAAGGTATACGCTTTTCTCTTTTCTTTGTTTGTGTCGGTTTAGGTGTGTTTTCTAATGGTGGTGGATTATTTGTTTCCTTTTCAGGTGTATCCTGTTCCTCCTGGTTACGCCCCCATTAGCGAGTTGAATTTTATATGATTTTGGTTCCTCGTTTTTCTGGTTTACTATTCCTGAAGTCCAATCTCGTATACCTTTCTATACAAAGCTTTTTTTCTGGATTTAATTCAATCAGTTGTTTATTCTGATTTTAATATTTTCCCTGGCGTTCTTGAAGATGTGTCATGCTAGCCGCAATATATTCTTTATCAAATTTTGGTTTTAGTAGAACTCTCGGTATTGGTAGAAAGGTTTTTGGTTTCTTGTCTCATTAGTAGCTCAGAGAGCGATCCTAGGTTATATTTGGGTGTATTATTATGTTCTAATATAGCCCATTCATATTCAGTATCAGCTTTGCTTGCTTTCATTACTAATGATCTTACGGTACCAATTGTACGCTCTATTGTCCCATTAGATTGAGCATAAGTTGGACTCGATGTTGTTATTTTTATCTCTAACTGGTTAGTATATTGTAGGAGTTCTTTTGCATTAAATGGTGGCATTATCATTCATAATCACCTGTGGTATTCCGTGGTGCATAAATAACTATTTCAATGTCTTTATAACTGCTGATGCCGTCTTCGATGACATTTTATTCAAAATTTTGAATGATAATCCACAGTAACTAGGTAGTCTTTGTTGTTGACGTGCATAAAATCCACACCTATTTTGGACCATGGTAATTTTTCAATAGGATGTGTTGTAATTGGTTGTTTTTTATTCGATCGGCTGTTCTGTAAACAAATGCGACAGGATTCAACAGCCGTGATTACATCGTTGTACATGCCTGGCCAATAATAAGCACATCTTCCCTTAAATACACAGGCATTCATGCCTTGATGAGCTTTATATATAATGTTTATGATATTGTCTCTAATTGCGGTTGGCACAATCAATTTATTGCCTTTATATAGCAGTCCATCTTGTTGGTGAATTTCATGCTTTATATCCTAATATTGTTTGGTTAGTGCAGGAAATGATATTGTTCTCTCTGGACAGCCTACTTTGGCATAATGTACCATCAAGGATAATAATTCATCCCGCGCATCTTCTCTGGCAAATTCCTGCTTTGCTTGTTGTGAAGCTATCATTATGGAATCTACCTTTGCTACCTCATTCTCCAAATACTCTGTAGCAATGTTTTGTGATTGTGGGCTTCTAGATAGTGCGTCGGCTACATATATGTGTTTGCCAGGTACATATTATAACTTTGGATTGTATTGTAGAAGTC